GTGTTAGTTGAAGGGAATAAATAAACATTTCCAAGTTTGTTTGGACAGTACTCTTTCAGGTGCAGACTGTACTGTGTATTGTTAGTGTTAAATGCCTCAGTTCTAGTTCACCTGGGGTGAATCCTGGCTGTAGGTTTAGTGATATGTGATCTTGAACCCAGCACTGAACCCCCAGTGCATAATTTATGGTTCAGAGCACTGGGTTTAAATCCCAACTCTGCCACTTGTTCAAACTGTGTGATTTTTTTTTCAACTTGCTTCTTTTCTCTGGGCCTCAGTTTGTTCAACTGAGATGATCATAGTGTCTTCCCAGTTGGGTTGCAGTGGAGGTAATCAATGTCAAGTGCTTGTAAACATTCCTAGAGGAAGCGCAGTGGGCAGTGGTCTCACTGGCCCTTGCCTCCCCGACTTAAGTTGTCCTGGCCCTTTTCTACTGTGTCTTCTTTTTCCTGCCTCCTGGAGTTGGTGGTAGAGGATGGACATGATTTACTGATCCTCATTATAATTTGGAGAGATAAACCTGCACTTTTTGGTAGTCTTCCAGAGGGTTGATCATTCATTTCATTATTCAGAGGAATAATTTAAAGCTGGAGAATTCTCAGTCTGCTGGCAGCCTTTCCCAGGCCTGCAAGTTGCAGACACTGGAAGAAGCTGGCTGGTGGGGGCAGCGGCGAGACCATCATCAAATGGCCCTTCACAGACTCCCATTTCTAGATGACAGATGCTTTACTTTTGACCTTTGGCCCTAGCCTTTTTTCCCTCTAGCCCTTTAATCATCTCTTAAAAAAATCAATCAACAAATATTTATTGAATGTTTCCTCATAGGCCCTCAGGCTGCTTTGTGGATTTCTGCCCTGAACCCCACTCTTAGCCTGGACAGTATCCTACACAGTAGCCCTGGACAGTTCCTTTGGCATCTGTTTTCACAGATTATGGCCAGGAGCTGAGCCGGTCTGTGGTTTCCTGGCATCACCAGGTGTGTGCAGAGCCCATGCGGGCAGGGGAACAGCCCCTTCCCGGTTGTGGACCGGCATCCTTGCTACCGGGTGTCAGGGAGAGTGGGTGAGCAGCTCTTACACGGTGTTTCCTCCCCTCCATTAGCCCTTTCCTCTAGGCTGAAGGCCTTTTTAGGACCAGTTGGGCTGAAACAAGTTGTGGGGTCACTGCAGCCCCCCTCCCCCCCGGTGGGAGTGCACACAGGCCTGGGGTTTAGTTGCACAGGGTGTCTTGCCTGTAATTTCCAGTTGGAGAGTGAACCCAGAGCGGACGTGCTGCTGGCTTTTGGAAGTCCTTCTGTCTTTGGGATGTTAGCCATGGTGCTAGCATTGGTGTGAGGAGTGATTTTTAAAGCTGTTTTCTTAGGTTGGCTGGTCCTCGTGAGCACACCCCCTTATGTCATGTCACGCGAGGGGGTTTCCTCTGCTGAGAGCAGCTGACATCTGGGCCCCCCCTGCAGGCCGCTGCCCCAAGGGCTGGGCTGGGCTGGGCTGGGCTGGGGACAAGGCGCAGGCTGGTGATAATCACTCCACTTTGGAGACTTCGGAAAAGGCCCCACTGTGTGGAGTTGCTCCTGAACAGTTAGGTGCCTTTGGCCGTCATTTTCCCGTTTCACCACGCTCTGTTACATTTTCACCTTCGTCTTTTCCTACAACGTAGTTCAGCTTCGAGTTCATACTGGTTTCATTGTCTGGTGGTGTTTCCATCTGTGGGCGAGTTTAGGTTCAGGCTAGCTTCACGGGTTCTGATGTGTGAGTGAGTAAAGCAGCTTATTTCCCCGTGGACCGTGACCTTGTAGTTGTGTAATAGACTAGAAGCAGATGTCCTTGTTGACTGAGAATAAACAGAGTTCACCGGGTCTTAAGGGTTCTTGGCCTTGGTTTCTTAAACTGATCTCTTTGGATTATTCCTTCAGTACCTAACATTCTGTTCGTAAGAGATGTACTTACCAGTTCAGATGAAGTCACAGAAACTGCTTGGAACTGAGTATGAATGTTTGCAGGGGATCTCACCATCTCTCTAGGGTACTGTGCTGTACATATTATACACACACACATACACACATCATTGTGAACATTTTTAAGTTAAGAATTTACTGGTATTCACTATTGTGTTGGCTACATTTTTTAAAATGCAGAGAAGAATTCAGTTTACTTTTTTGGAGGCCCACTTGTGGGACCAAATTGATCTCTTTTCTAAATGTCAGGTTTTTTTTTGAAGCTGTAGCAGCAGTTTCTCAAGGCCTATCGTGTTTTGAGTTTCTCCGGCAAGTAACTTCAGTTTTCATACTTTGAGATCACAAATGGCAGCTGCTTTAAGTGTTTTGCAGTCAGGTGGTTGTATTTGAGGGGAGAGCCATGTGACATGTCCTGCCAGCCTTTGGGAGTTGAGTACACCAACCCCAAGAGCAGTGGCCACAAAATCGCAGTGGTGATCCCCTGCCCACCTCCCCCCCGCCCCCGGCCCCCTCCCTCATTCACAGTGAAGCAGGAGTTGGTAGTATTTTACCTTAGGGATCATGCCATTTAGCTCAAATTCCAGGGAACTAAAAAGAGTGTTCTTCTTTAAGCTAATTTTTAGGTACTTTAAACTCTTTAGAGTTTTTGAAATTTCAGTTGAAGTACCAAGATCAAGAAACAGTTTAATCGGCCCCTCCTTAGGAAAGCTGTCTTCATCCCAGGTTTGGTTTTGACGTGTAAGTAGGTCTGGGATGTGGAGGGCAGACAGCGTACAGTGTGGGGGCAAAGCCCAGGGGCAAGAGGGACACGTGGGGTGAAGAACAAATAGTGGGGAGACCGGCACCCACTTTCTCCTGAACACATCCTTCTGCTTTGAATTTAAATGTCTATTTCCTTCTGTTTTTAGCAGATTGTGGTTAACGTCTGTATTTAAACTCCAGAATTCCTTTGAGCTCTGCTTGAGTCAAGGGATTGTGGCTTCTGCAAAAGACCTGTATCTCACCCACCAGGGCACTGGGCCTGTCCGTTCTGGAATTTCATTGTGTTGCATTTGAGGTTGGAGGTTGCTGTGCAGTTTTTTACCTTTCTGTTAACGTACTGCCATGAATCAAGAACGCTTTTGTTTATAGGGGGCATTTTTGTATTTTTCTGTACTTGAGCTAGTTTCTCCCTTTGATTATGTGATTTACTTTTAGACTTCGAACTAGTAACCGATGAGAAATATGTTCATTGTCCAGATTTCCTTAGGAGAGCAGAGCCTGGTTTCAGTTAATTTGCAGAGTTCATTACAGTACATAATTCATCAGGTCCAAGAAATCCAGACTCCCAGCCAGTGTAGCTTAAAACTTTGTTATAATTTTCTCTGAAACTAGTCAAGTGACAGCTAAAGACAGCACTGGCTAACCTGTAGACCATGACTTGATTTTTCTCTTTCAGACCTGGGTTTCCATTCCAGTGTTTCCGCCACAGCGTGTTGGGGGACAGTGCTTCCTCCTCAAGTTTTTCCTACGGTTTTTTTTTTTTCCGGTCTTGGCACAGAATTTTTTTCCTCCCATAATGTTCTTGAGCAGTTTCCAGTCATTTTCCTTAATCTTTTCCCTCTTTTTTCATTATTATCTGACTGAGTTTTGTTTAATTTCTTTGTGTTGGTTTAGGAACCCAACCACCATTTGAAACATCCTTTTTATGATGAAATGCATCCTGAGTTTTCAATGGCTAGTCAATAAATGATCTTTTGAGAAGGTGGGCTATTTGAAAGTCGGTTCTGCTTGTGTTTTTGTCACCTCCTCACCAGCCCTTCTGGCTTACTTGAAGTCCTGCATTATCCTCATGGGTTTCATCCCTCTTTAAGTACACGTGGAAATGACACTGATGGTGAAAATAAGTGTCTGACGGTTAAATGGCACTTCCTGTGCTGGGCACTGGTCTAACCATTTCACGTATATTAACTCATTTAATTCTGTATCAGCATGGTGCCGTTAACCCCATAACAGAGATGTGGAAACAGAAGTCAGAGGGGCCAAACTCACAGCATTCTGGCCCTGAGCCTTGTTCGTTGTCACCGAGGACTTGTTGCTGACACTCAGTTTGTCATTTCATTAATCCTTCTGCCAATCTTTCTGTTTCATAGAAATAGAAACACAACGTTGTTTTTCTCCTCCTTCGACTTTCCTGTTTTTTTTTTAAAGTATCTTTTAGAAACTTACTTCATTTACATATGAACGTTGGTAAAAATTGAGGAAGAGATAATCCTGTCCCCCCTGTGGTTAAATAGTGACAGTTGATCTGTTGAATACCTTCCTTCTTTAAAAACCAGGGAGATTAGGCAATTACAACAAATGTTATCATTAGAGTCATTTACTCTTGCTGCATACATTACCGTGAGGGTCTTAAGCGGTGAGGCTAAGCCCAGACCCTCCCTGCTTTGAAAAGATGTGAGGCCTGCACTGTAGAACAGCTCACTGTTCCGGCTGACCAGGACTCTTTTGCTTATTGGTGAAATTGGTTCTCTCGTGAGCAGTTTGCAGTCAGTATGCCTCGTGCTCTGGAAGCTGTTAGGCTAAGTTTCCTTACAGTTTTTCTCCAGTTTCGTTTGAAGAGAAGGAGCCCCCTGGAGGGTTGACACAGTGGTGGTTGAACACGAGTGACCTTTTTGGTTGAACTGACCTTCCTGTGGCCCAGTCTTCCCCTGTCAGGATTCCCACCTGCCTCCTCCTGAACACACGACAACTCACTGCGAGGTCGGAGTTGGCTCACTCTCTGGGAAGATTCCATTCTCCTTCCATCTCGTTCAGAGGTTCCAGTTGGGTCCTCAGAAGGAGCTCAGTGTGACTCCCGTCCAGCAGACTTGCTGTGCATCTTCTCTGGGCTGATGGACAGCTCTGTGTTCCCTCATTATTCTGCTCGTGGAGATGATTTCCGTCTCCTTAAAAAATGATAACCTGTGTTTTAAGCTTTAGGTTTGTACTACATCTAGTGTAATATTTTGCATACCATTTGACTCAGCCTCTCTGCTTCTAGGAATTTATTTAGACTTGGCCACAGGGATGTGTATCAAGTGTATTTCACTGTGTATCACAGTGAAAAATGGTAACCAATGGGGGATTGGTTAAATTAGTGAACATCTGTTCCATGCAATCATTAAAATGATATGGTAGCAAGAATATTTAATGACATAATGTAGTAGGTGAAAAAAGCAAGTGAGAAAATAGTATGTGCAGTTTAATCTTTTGTTATAATAATTCAAATAAATAGTATATTTAGGAAAGGGAGATATACCCCCACACCCAAAACCAACAGTATTCTGAGTGGTCAAAATTTAGTGTAGTTCTTGTTTATCTGAGAGATATTAATTGCTCTCCTGCCATATGCTGGGCGTGTGCCAAATGCCAGGCAGGCAGTGGTGAGCAGTGGCCATGGCCTTGTTATAGAAGAAGAGGACCAGTGCTTTGATGGATGAGTGTCCAGGGTGCTGTGGGCAAACTTCGGAGGGACAACTAAGACTGTGGATGTCACAGTGTAGACACTTGGAGGGTAGGAATTAGCGGGGTGAAGATGGGAGTGGAGAGCATTGTGTTGAGGAGTGAAGGTAAGGATGGCATGCAGGTGTTTGGAAAGAGGAAGGGATGGATGCTCAAGAGATAGGGCTTAATTTGTATTTTCTCCAGGAAATAAGCATTGCAGTGAAATTTTTTAAAAGTAGTATCTGGAGTCTTCCTCTGTGAAAGAAGAGTAAGGGAAGCAGTGGGAAAACAGAGCCATGTCTTCTTAAGAGAAGTGGCCCATCCAGCTGTGAGTTGTGGACTCCCGTGGAGACAAGGGAGGTTTTCCCAACTGACTGGTCGGGCTGGACTGGACGTCTCTGGTGAAATAGATGAATACCAGGTAGCTAATTTAATTTCTAGAAGTGCTGCTTAAATGCCTTTGCCTCCTACTACTGGTTAGAGCAAAACAAGCATGTGATTTATGTAAAAATACCCGACTGTGAGTTTTTATCAGGACTCCGCAGAACAGTGTAAAAGTGATGCTTCCTGTCATAGCCACTTTGCAGAATAAAAGTAAGAAAATCAGTATTCTTTACAAATGACTAGTCACAGTGGAAAATACTGTCTGCTGAGCTTATTTGTAGATAGCGTGAGTAAAGCCCCCCAACCTCATACCCCAGCCAAAACCAAAACGGTGATTTACATAGCAAAAGTGGAACAAAGACGGCCCTGAATCCTGGTGAAGGGATTCTCAAGATGGTACAAGCCATGCTGTTTCTGGCCTGTGCTCTCTCTGCGTTTTTTTTGCCAGGTCATCCTGGAGAGCTGGGGATGCCCTGGCTTCTGGAGGTGCTGAAAGGAAATGGGCCTAAGTCTTCTGACTGATCCTTCCTAGGAGATGGGATTTAACCTTAAATACCCAGTACCGTTTGACCAGATTTAGACCAAGATTATTGCCTTAAAATAGCTCTTGGACGTGACCCTTGCCAGGATGACTTGTAAATCATTTTCTGCCAGGAACTGAGCTGACTTTGGTTTGTGGGCTGCTGAGTCCAGGTCTGGGAACGTGTTCTGCTTCTCTGTGTCTCCACAGGGCTGCCTGCCCACAGCCCCCTTTTGAGAACTCTCATAGGCTTCTTGACATCTTGAGTGCCGGGACTGGACCCCTTTGGGATGCCGAGATTTGCCACAGCACTTTTTGGAACTGCAGTGAGATTATTCCCTGTAATGTTTCTGTAACAGGAAGCTGATGGGCTCAGAGACTTCCATGAGTGTCGACTGGGGCAGGAGGATTCATACCACCCCCACCCCAAATCCCAAAACCTTCCCCCAGAAGGACTGATCAGCTGCTCCCTGTCACCTAGAGTGAATCCTGGCTGTGGAGAGCCTCCCCCAGTTTGAAACCTACTCACTAGGTTTGAAAAACTTGGAAGCCTTTTCTCTGCAGAGGTCAATATTGGATTTGTTTTTTTTCTGCCCAACTCAGAAGCAAACCCCTTAAAACAAAGCACAAGTGGTACTCTGATTCAGCTTGCAAAAAAGTGGCTTCTTAGTTTTGTTTTTTTTACCTTTTTCTTTTAAAAGATAAAATCTGCTTTTTCTTTAAATATCCCAAGGCCTGAAAGGGAGTTTTGTATTATAAATATTTCTTTAATAAGTCACTTTTAACAGCATGAAACTTGGGGAGTTCCCCCATATTTGGACCAGGTCCCTGAATTATGTCACTAAAGGTGTGGCTTTTAGCCTTGACTTGTATTTAATTTGGGTGGCTACTTTCCAGAAAAATCAGTTTAACCTAGTGAGTTGTCACAACCACCCCTCCTGTCTTTTTTTTTAAGACAATTGTAAATCAGTTCAGATTTTTTCAAAAAGCAAGTTTACTGAAGTCCAGTTTATAAATGCAACCATTTCAAGAGTGCATTCTGATAAGTTTTGGCAACTGCGTTATGTATTAGGTATTATACACAGCACTCACCTCAGAGGGTTGTGTCCCTTTGCAGTCAGTCCCCTGCCCCTCCCCTTCTATAGTCCCAGGCCAGCACTGTTCTGATCTCAAGCGCTCTGGTAGGAGTTCATGTAAATGGAAGCAATCTTGTGTCTAGGTCCCTTCACTGTAATGCTTTTGAGATTCATACCAATAGGTTCTTCCTTCCTTTTATGGCTGAATAGTCTCTTCTTTTTGTCTTTCTGTGCCTTTCAATGGCTTTCTCTTTTTCTACCTTGCTTTCTCTTGCCTTGTCTTTTTTTTTTTTTTTTTTAGGTTTATTTTTCTTTGGGGGGTAATTAGGTTTATTTTTAGAGGAGGTACTGGGGATTGAGCCCAGTACCTCATGCATGCTAACCACACACTCTACCCCTTGAGCTATGCCCTCCCCCTTGCATTGCCTTCTTGAATGGTCTGGTCTTTCTGTTTATTTCGCATTGAGTCCATTTCTCACCTGGGCATTAAAACAACCTTTACGTTTCACATAGACCAAAATAGCCAAGTAACTGGAGAGGTGATCCCATGCTCACCCCTCTACACAAAAGGGAGCAACCAGCAAACATGTCAGCAGACCCAAGCTTTGTTCTGTAGCATCAGAGCTGGGAGTAAATGCTGGAGTTCTTACTCTCCCTTCAACATCTTTCCCTTAAACCAGGCTGCAGCCTCCAGTTCCACAAAATATAATATGTGAGTGTTCTGATTGCTTGTGTTGCTTGTTTTGAAACTGATTTTTTTGCGACAAGAATTTGGTGCTGAATACCATAGAGTTTAGCACTGGGCAACTGTCTTCCTACCTGTTTCCATCCCTTTTGATCAGAGGGAAATGTACCAACTAAGCAGGGAGGAACCACGGAGCCTTAGGTGCACAGAAAACATCTCCTGACTTCTGCTAAAGTAGTTTTTTTTTTCTTCTTTAAATGGCGGTACTAGGGATTGAACCCAGGGCCGCGTGCATGCTAAGCACGGGCTCTACCACTGAGCTGTACCCGCCCCCACCTCTGCTGAAGTAGTTTTAATCAGTGAGAAAGTCGCATTCTGGTGAATCTGGGTGCCTTGTTGGGGCTTGCTGTAACTTCTCAATTTTTTGTGCAGAAACTGTGCTGTGTTGAGAAGAGGTGTCTTGTCTGGGCAGTGGGGGGTTTGGTGGGGGGCCTGGGCTAGGAATCTGGAAGTGTGCCCGCTCCACTTGCCCCTGAGCTTGTGTGTAAATACTGGAAAGCAGGGCCCAGTTCTCACAGATCTGACATTTGTACCTCCTCATTGTGGCTTCACATTTTCAAGAGAGCCAGCTTTTCTGGGAAGTCTGCCGTCAAAACCAAAACACAGGTTGCTGGTGAAGCCGAGAGCGGGTTTCTGGCACTTTGGCAGAGTGGGGTGTGTCCGGGCGCAGTACTGAGAGCCACGTCCGTTTAATTTGTTGCAGAAGGGGTGTGTCTTTTCTCTGTGGCACTGGTTTTTTGACTTGCAAATCTGGGGAGGAGCCAGCAGTCTGAAAGTAAGTAGACTTCGTGGGAGCATTCCCTGGTGACAGAGAGGACTTAACTGCATTTTAAGAACCTGTCATTAGAAAGTTAGTTTCTTCCCACTTGGCATTTATCAAAGCAGTGCCTTAGATACATCTGTCATCTCAGCCTTGCCCCTAATGGCAGCTGAGCCTGGCAGGTGTGGGGTTGGTAATTACCTTTGTCGTCCTCTCCCACAGAACCTCACACCTGCTACCCCGGCAGCCCCTCTTTGTGTTTTTCTCCATCATCTTGTTTGGGGAGGAAAATACTGTGTTTGGGTCCAAGATACGGCCACGATAAGTCGCTCCAACTCTGGATAGCAATTATTCAGGTGGTATGGTTCACGGGTGAGGGACACCTGTGGGGCTTCCAGCGGTCAGGGAGGATGCTTAAGGTAACTCAGGCAGTGGGTGGCACGGCTGGACTGAAACTCGGCCCCAATCTACCCTTGGACCTCCTGTGGCTCTCTGGCCGGCCTGTGCTCCCCAATCCTGCCAGTTACTCTACCACCATATCCTTTTATTTCTAGCATGGAGCACTACCTCTGTTACCTTATTTGTTGTTCACTTGTTGGTTTTCTCCACTAGAATATAAACTCCACGAGAGCAGGAAGCTTTTTGTTCTTGGTCACAGATCTACCTCAGGCACCTAAATGGTGCCAGACACTTGGTGCTTCCTAAGTATTTGGTGAAGGAGCGAATGAATAAATGCTATTTTGAAATTAGCTGTAGTTCACTTTGTGACTTCTGGTATAAGTTTTCTCTTAGGAGGTTCATTCAGTAAATGATAGCTGGAGGTACGTAAAACCCCCACGCATTGGAGATAACTCATGCTGTTTGTTTGGTACGTGTGTGTTGGGGCTGATAGGTCTCTAGAAACGCAGTTGAGGTGTCTTGGAGTGGGAGGAAAGAGGGAGCCTGAATGTGCAGAATGGCAAAGGGAACCCACAGATGTCAGAGAGAGATCTTGGAGGAAAAGTTTGGGGACTGCAAAATGAATTGGCAAAAATAATTTGTGAGCTGCTTCTAATGACTTACATCATTCTTGGCTTCTAGAGCATGCTGGTAAAGCAAGACCTCTACCTACTTGGCCTGGTTTATCTGGTCCTTGCTGCCATCATAAAAGCCTTCCACGGAAACTGAACATTGGCATGTTTGTCCGAAAATCCTCACTGTATCTCCGTAGATTGATTCTGTCGGAAAGAAGAGTTCAGACATGTTTTGATTACTGTCATCACTTCCTTAAGATGCCAGCTAGTGGACAGTCTGGCGGATTACAGAGGGTCAGAAACAGCGCATTGGTCCCTTCGAATTTTGTTTGAATGACTCCGTCACGGGCAGCTTAGCAGAGCTGATGCCTTACGTTTCCCTCGTCGGTATCAGCTGGCTTCCCAAGGTGGTGAGGACTGTGTGAGAAGGACTGCGTGGAGCCGCGTCTTGAAGCATTACAGTTTCAAACATAGCTTTGATCTTAGCACGGGAAGCTTAGGAGAGTCAGTAAGCCCTAGAGGGAGGAGTGGAATCTGGAGTCTTGACCCACACCGCTTAGGTATTTTGGAGTGCAGCTAGAGTATTTTCCTAATTAGGATGGGGTCCGGCCGGGTAGGTGAAGTGTCTCCTGCTGCTTGGGGTCCCCGTTAGTTGTGGTGGTCCTGAGTTCCTGGAATAACGGAGCTGAGTTTATGCCCAATTCTTTCGTGTCTAATTTGGTTTGAGTTTTGAGTCGAATACTGTAACCAGAATTGGGAAAGGGCTTCAATGAAGCAAATGCTGTGCTGTGTGCCGGCTCGGCCCCATGTGCTGCCCATTTATTACCATCTGCTAGGACTGCCTTGGGAGTACAATTTCTTTATGGCACCCAAATCTACAAAAGAAGAAAGTGATGCTTTTAGAATTAATCTTTTTATCTTCAGATTAACTCCCTAGTGACGGAGGACTTAGCTGGAGCCACAGATCACTCACCTGGGTCCTGCTTCCACTCAGTTGTGTTCCATAAATGTCGTTTTGTTAAGTATTTTCTCAATACCACAAATACAACTACAGTGCTGGACTCTACACATTTTGATTCTAAAAAGGGGAGCTGCTTGCTTGAAAAGCTGTATGAAATACAGATTCTGTTGTTACTCAGCCGAGGTTCCCAGTTAGGCGTCTTATAATAATGATTGCTTCTGTAGTAATTTTAAGGTTTATTTCCGAGGGCAGTAGAACTCCTTTTGCTTTTTTTTGTCTGTTCTTGCCAATAACAGTAGTGCCATCACAACAAGAGTGGAGAGCCACCTTCATTTCCCCTTTCAAGCACCAGAAGATGGTGAATAGTGCCACCAGAGAAGCAGCATATATCTTAGCGTTCACTGTGCCTCTGGACCAGGCAACAGAGGAAGAGGGAGTGGGTGCTGAGCGAGCTGTGCCTGGGGAATTTTTCTTTAGTCCTCATGTGAATAGGATCATTGCTATCACATGAAGGACTTGAAATCAGTGAGACTCCTTATTGCAAATATAGATCGACAGATCGATCAATTGATCAATAGATAGGTAGATCGGTTGATTGATCGATCTGTCTGTCTGCCTACTATCTCTCTCTCTCTCTCTCTCTCTCTCTATCCATCCATCCATCCATCCATCTATCTATCTATCATCTATGGTTTTTGAAATGTCATCAGTTTCTTTGAAGTAGTGTCATTCGGTTGATAGGATTGCTTGAAGCCAGACACCTTGGGTTTTTTATTTTAAATATTTTTAAATTGAGTTATAGGCATTTTACAATGTTGTGTCAAATTATTCATTGTCCCATTGTTTTTTTCGCTGTGAGCTACCACAAGATTTTGTATATATTTCCCTGTGCTATACAGTATAATCTTGTTTATCTATTCCACATTTTGAAATCCCAGTCTGTCCCTTCCACCCCCTGCCCCCTCGGCAACCGCAAGTTTGTATTCTATGTCTACGAGTCTGTTTCTATTTTGTTTTTGTTTTTGTTTTTTAGATTTCACATGTGAGCGATCTCATATGGTATTTTTCTTTCTCTTTCTGGCTTACTTAGAATGACATTCTCCAGGAACATGTTGCTGCAAATGCCGTTATGTTGTCGGTTTTTATGGCTGAATAGTATTCCATTGTATAAATATACCGCATCTCTATCCAGTCATCTGTTGATGGACATTTAGACTGTTTCCATGTCTTGGCTATTGTAAATAGTGCTGCTGTGAACATTGGGGTGCAGGCAGAACACCTTGGGTTTAAACCCCAGCTCTGCCTCTAATGGAATGACCTTGGGCAAGTCATTTAGTCTGGACCTCAGTTTCCTCACTTGTAAAAAGGGTAATAGTAGAACCGTTGCCTTCGGGTAGCTGTGGGGTTTATGAGTGTATGTCTGGTCTAGAATGAGTCCCAGTAGACACTCTTGAGTATTAGCAGCTGTGATTCTATATGCCTCCTTTCCCCACCGGTTATTTATAATTAGAAGTGTCATGTTGCTCAGCTCTTCACTCGATTCTATCAATTTAGCAACAGAATTTTAAAAGTCAGAAATAATTTCTTCCTGTTCCCCTGTGAAACCCCCTTGAGAAAGGGGGACGAAACAGCCGTTAGAACCAGTTCTGTGAAATGTAGAGACAATATTGACATGTCATTTTTTTCCTATTTTACTTGAAAATGCGAGCCTCACTGAGGATAACAGTTTAGCTTCTGAGATGGTTATGAACTGGTCCATGTGGTTTGGGAGTCATTTAAAGGTGATGCGTGGATTTGTAGTAAAGCTTTGCTTTACTTTGAAATCTGAGATTCAGCAGACAGTGCCCTGAAAGTAATTCCCCCCAAAACTCCCCAGGAAATTTTCACCATTTACTTTAGTAAAACTGGAGGTTTGCCTCTTGAACTTAAGTTTTGCACTGCTTACACAGTAAGTCAGTAAAGGTGAGTTTTTCCAAAGGTACCTTCTTAATTGCTTATCCTGTAACCAGTGGGACCAGGATCCCAACCAGAATATGTCCTCTGAAATCCTGAGGTGTTGGCTTGGGATGTATTTTTTTGGGTTTTTTGTTTGAATTAATTTCACTTGTTGAGAGTTTCTAATCTGAAATGTGACTGCAGTGGTGTTTGTTCTAGGCTGTCCTGTCCCCCTCACTCCCCTGTTCATCCCTCAGGGTAGGTTTGCCCCTGGGGGCATGAGTTAGCTCCGAGGACCACACGGAGCTGGGGTGTGCAGAGCTGGCTGAGGGCAGGAGTAACGAGGTGTTGATCTCTGTCACACATCTCTTCAGTACCAGCCCTGCTCCCACAGAATGCGGGAGTTTAGGCCTCCCTTCCCCTCCCGTGTTTGCGGTGCTGGGCCTCACCAGCCAGTGTAGCAGAGGTGAGCGCAGAGGGAGGCAGAGGCACGTGTGTTCCCTGGTGTCGCAGAGGTTTGCTGATGATCCCGGGCATGGAGCACGCCCCCCGAAAGTGAACTCGGGTGTGAGAATGAGAACGCTTAGTCAGACGGAGTTTGTTCTGCCTTTGTGTTTAAGCTGCAGAGGAGAGGCAGAAGCCCAGGGCAGGGCCGGAGAATGAATGGGTCTGGCTGGCACTTTGAGAGGGAAGGAGAGAAGTGAACAAGGTAATGAACGCTATGCCCTGGCTGCCCAGGTGGGTTGTGCTCTCCAGCTGCACATCCTTCTAGAAGAGGCATGTCGTTGTCCGTTGTAGGGTACCTGGGACCTTTTACACATCCGACAAGAGTCTTTTTTTGGTGGTGTTGCCATCCAACTACAATGAAAGAACCTTTTTTACAGCACTTCCAGCTGCGCAGTTGCTGGGAACCACAGGCTCTCAGAGCTGGTCCTGAGGTTCCCCAGAGGCACCCCACTCCCCCTCTTTAATCATAAGGCATCTCAGAGGAGCGTCATTTGGGGCAGGCCTGATTCACGGGTATGACTGTGCCCTGGCTGGCCAGCCTCATTAGAGATATTTTTGGGAACAGAGACAGTGAGGGATGGGAAGGGTAACAAAAACCTCTTGGGATTCCCGGATCGCTCAGGCTGTTATAAACAGTAAGTGCTGCCTTTGATCTTGGAGGGCGGTGTGGGGCAGGCAAGAAAGGGGGTGGTGGTTACAGAGGAGAGAGCTGGAGCCAGACAACCATAATGGCCTGTCCAAAGGCTGCTGTGAATCCAGTGGCGAAAGGCTCTGTACTTGCCACTAATTTCTGTTTTCTTTGCTGTGGTTGGCTTTATTAAAAGGGCATAAGGAAGCAGCCTAGACATTCATTTCTAATCAGTTTTCTGAGTTAGCAGTGGGGAGGAGAGAAAGAAATCAGGCCTTTGGTGATGTCAGAGAAAGGATGACTGGCTCTGTGGTTTATTCACTTTCTTGGGGCAGGAGAGAGATAATGTGTTACAAATATATAATATGCAAGGAATGTTATAAATCATCAAAAAGATTCATGGGACACAGCTGTTTCCTTCTCTTTGGCAATCTGGGACTAGGGAGGGGCTGCTGCCTTAAACATGATTTTCAAAGGGTGCTTCTGACAGTCATTGTATTGTGTGTAACCTTTTCCTCTACACAGTTCTGCACTGGCAGTTCTGTGTGTGAGTGAGGTGGACTTACCTGTCCTGCGTGCCTGCAGCAAGACCGGGAAATGGGGTCTGCACTGGAGAGTAGCAGGGAAGATCTCAGCTGCGGATAGCCCTTTAACTTTCTATGAGGGAGAACCACCTAATCAGTGGCTGCACATTATGTAAATTTGATGCAATAATCAAGCTTCATGCTCCCTGCATCATCTGCATTTTGATTTCAGGGAAGTTCAGCCCTGTGACTCTTGGCTTATTTGAACTGGAGCTAAGCACTAAGATATTTTAGTCACACCCTAGTTAGGGAGTGTATCTGTGTAAATACAAGTTGGTAATTTCAAGTAGACACAGCTATATTATTAGAGCTTGGTTAATTTGAGCTCCCTGGCTTCTGCCATCGTCGTGGTATGTTTTTCAGTATGTTTCAGAAAATTAAGACTTTGTTGTCGTCCCCTTTTCAGCATGATTCACTTCTTATCCTGTGCGTGGAGAAAGCTGACGGGAAGAAACTTACACTGTGCTTGGGGAGGCTTGTGAAGGGAGTGGAAAATGTATTGCTGTGTTAATGCACCCCACAATCCCAGTGACTTAATATTTATTTAATAAGCAGGTCAAGTCTTGGTTATGTATCAGTAATCTAAGCTAGGCTAACCCTGTTCTGTTTCCAGCTGGGCCGATTTAGAAGGAAAGAGGAAAACCTTGCCTTTAATTAAGCAGCTTGTAGGATTGCATGGGTGAAAATAGGAAAAACAGACTTTAGAAACTTCAGTAATTGTACTCTGCAGCCCACACCCTTAGAGTGGACTAGTACCTGCGGGTGGGGGGGGACTACCGTGCAAGTGGGTTGAGGCAGAAGGTGAAATGTTGAATGTTCATTATCAACAGGCCACATAAATGTGATTTGGAGGTTGTTATGAAAGCTACTGTACTTGAAACTCATCTGGTATTCATTACAATGCAGTTCCTAAACAAGATGAAACTGTATAGCTAATGGCATAACATGTTTCCTCCTTATCTAATCAGGGATCTTTCTTGAGCAGCTAGATTAGATGTTATTCAGAACAGATAATATAGGAAATAATGACTATATTTCATTTGTGGAATTAACCATATGGCCTCTAACTTAACATATATTGCTTATGAACATAAAACCAGCAAAGAGCAGTCTGTCATGTGTTTAGCCAGTGGCAAACAAGATTATGTGGGTTTTTTTTTAAAATCTGCATATGCAGTATCTGCAGTTTGGAATGATTTTATGGTTTTGGTGCTTTTGCCCATCTTGTTTATAGAATTTATGAAACTGTAGTCAGAATGTGGGTGAGGTGAGGTAGTGAATCATAATGAATAACATTCACTCAAGAAGATACGTATTGATTGTACAAGGCAGTATGGTGGGCACTGATTTGCCTGTTGTGAGCATGTTGAATATGCCGGAAACTCACAAGCTCATTTTGAGAAGAAAACAGCTAGATTTCTTCAAACATTCGAGTTTGATTTCTGAATGTTACCAGTTATAGAAGACCTGGGCGTGTGCCAAATCGCACTGCGCTGAGTTTCTGTATCGTTGATATAATCAGCCACTTTCTTCTTGTAGGGGCGAAGGACTTGCCGTCTTTTACCTCATGAGGAAGGAAATCATAAAAATGATTCTCAGTAGTTACTTGTGAGTTGTCCGCTCTGTGTATTAGCTGAGGCTGACTGTGCCCACGTGTGTGTTCAGATTAGAGAACACATCTCATTGCTTACAAGTAGGTGCTGTTACTGTAGCTTTTTGTTACTTCTGCGTCCAAGGATTGGTAGCAGTGAAACCAAGCAGTATGCTCAGAACCGAAGACTGTGAGTGCCAGGAGACTGGTTATTTCATAACTTGTCAGCAGAAAACACATTTCTGCAGCATCTCATGAATACCCCTTGTCTTTACAAATTAATTGCTGCCTTCCCTGCGCCAGTGGCTCAGCGAAGTAACAGCAGCAGAAATACTTTCCTGGAAGATAGAAGTTAATCAGTAGGAACAGAGCATGAGTTAGAACTCTAATTTTATAATTTGAAGGGTTCTCAACTGTTAAAACTGGTGTCTAGGGGTTGATAGGAGGGTGGGAAGTCTTTGTAGGGCCTGATAGGTAGAATGGAAAATGTAATAATGTAACTCTGGACATACCTGGAAGCATGTAGAAGAATATGATGACCCCTTGTGGGACCTTCGTTTTCAAGGGACAGAAAAAGGGGAAGGGGTGTAGGGACTGCGGTTGTGGTCGTACACCTGGTTAAAGAACAGACTGCTCACAGATGAAGAGCCATGTTCATTGCTCCGGACTAATTTAGTATTGATTTGCAGTGGCCTGCCAAATATTTTCTCCCTCAGTGTATCTCCCCAGCCCGAAGAGGTCCGGACAGATGCTGCGGTGTTTGCTTTGACTTAAGTCCTCATGTCTTGAGTCCTGTCCATCTCTGCAGAATGGGAGGTATTAAATCACAGCACCTACTTGAAAGGATTGAGTGTTTGGATCACATGAGAAATGCTTAGAATAGTACTTGGCATAGATTGAAAGCGTTCAGTGACTGTTTCTAAACCTAAATTGTGGGCAGTATTTTCAGCCGGTGGTCAGGGGGCGTCTGCGTCAAGCCACAGGCTTAGCTAGACTCTGTCTCTCAGTCTTTTAGCTAAAAAGGTGGCTTTGAGGAATCTGCAGCATTGGGAGTAGGGGGAGATTTCAGGATAGAGAAGGTTAGATGGTTTCCTGGCTTCTTCTAGAATATGTCTTCAAACACCCCCCCCCACCCCGTGTCAAATTCTGGAATATCAGATGTAACCATAATATAAACATAACAGCATACTCATAAGCCAAAGAGAGAAAAATTTCAAGCTGTTCTGAATTATCTGGTTCATTTGAGAATCGGGCTTTGCCATTTGGTTATAGCAGGCTCACTCTAGAAATGCAGTGCAGTTCAGTTCACTGCTAAGGTAGCCAGCACCAGGTCTGTAGTTTGCTCTGCCCCACAGCATGGTGGTTGTGGGTTTAACAACAGATTCATTCTGACTCTTTTCTGCTCCCCTGGGCTGTAGTAAGGAACCACTTAGATCTGAGTGGGTGGTGGACTTTTGCCTGCTAAGCAGGCAGACACAGCCTGGTTTTCCAAATGCATTTCTTCTGTCTTGCTTTCTGCATCCATGAAGCATATTTGAATTGTGTAGGAGTAGCTAAGTATTGTTTCCTTTCTTACTCTCAGAGGAATGAGCTGGGACGCGTGCGTGCATGTGACTCACCATAGCCTCGCTTGTGTGCATTACAGCACCAAGGGAGATCCTGTCCTCCTGGCCCCGCAGATCTGTGGGTGACTGACTCTCCACTATCCCCAAAGAGTCAAACCCAGAGAAGGTTTTCTAACACCTTGTGCTTTTTCCTTTTGTACTTCTTCCTTGGAATCATGCTTTGTCCTGCACTTTTAATGTTCAAAGCTGTGAATGCTAGTAGCCTCTAGCCACCTGTGAGCAACTGAAGCATGCCTGGTCTCTATCAATACGCATCCTTGGTAGGAAATACACACTGAATTTCTAAGACTTAGTAATGAAAAGAAAGTGAAATTACTTGATTTTTTTTTAACTGAATGAAAGTGTCTTTAAATTCTGTGGTGTTTTACAATTTTTAAAAGTTTCACACAAGTGATTTCATAATAGACCCATAATAACCCTTTCCCCTCTACCCTGGTATTGCTCCTACCCCTTCCCTCCTCAATGGTAACTGCCAATTTGTTCTCTATCCCTCCTCCACTTTTTTTTTTCTTTTTGCAGGGGGAGGTAATTAGGTACACTTATTTTTTCCTTGGGGATTGAATTTAGAGTTAAATAAAATATTTTAAAAATCTCACCTGCTTTAATAATTTTAATGTGGCTATTTGATAAAATTATTGCGTTATATTTCTGTTGGACAGCACTCATCTGTGTGCAAGGATCTCGGAGCACACCTGTGTCATTATGCCCTGAGTAAAGTGGACATATATTGAGGTATAATTAGCATGCTGTCCAATTCACCTGTTTCAGTTCTGTGACGTTGGATAAACGCATGTAACTTATCACAGTGAAGGGCCCCTTTGTAGTTAATCCGCTCTCTAACCAGTTCTTTTCTGGATTTCCTGTGACTTTTCTGGAATGTCTTAGGTGGAATCACACAACACATAGCCTCTTGAGTGTAGTATATAGTTTCTTGATGTTTTTGAGATCCAGCAGTGTCATTCGTATTAGAAGTTAATTTCTGTTGCTGAGTGGTGTTCTGTTGTTTGGCTGTGCCACAGTTTGTCTATCTGTTCATCAGTTCATGGACATTGGCAGTTTTTGGTGATTGTGAATAGACCTGCTGTACATAGGTTTTTGTGAGGTGATGTTATTCATTGCTAGGTATTTATTGCTAGTGTGTGTTTAACTTTATAAGAAAATACCAGTCTTTTCCAGAGTGACTGCTCTGTGCATTCCACAAGCAATGTATGAGGGTTCACTGCTTTGCTCTGGAGGGTTCATTTGTATTTGGTGTTGTCAGCTTTTAAATTCCAGCCATTTTAATAGGTATGTAGTAGAATTTTACTGTGGTTTTAATTTGCGTTTTCCTGGTGACAAATAGATGTCGAGCATCGTTCCATGTGTGTAATTTGCCCATTTAAAGTTGGGTTGTTTTCTTATCAAGTATTGAGAATTAAAAACAGATATGTTGTGGATGTGAATCTGTTATTAGATATGTGTTTTGTACATATGTTCTTTTCCAGTATTAGTTTGCTCAGGGCTGTTTTAACAAGTACCAAGACCGGGTGGCTTAAACAATCAAAATTTACTTTGTCATAGTTATGGGGGCCAGAAATCTGAGCTCAGGTTTGTTACTTCTGGGGCTGCCTTTCTTCCTTGCTTTCTGGTTATCTTTTCCCTGTATCTTCACATTCTCTTTCCTCTGTCTGTGTGTGTTCAGTCTTCTTTTTATCAGGACACTGGTCATAATCCAGCGGGCTCCACCTTTAATGACCTCATTTTAACCCAGTCATCTCTTTATAGACGCTCTGTCTCCAAACACAGTCACATTCTGAGGTACTGGGGGTTAGGATAATTGAGGTTTTTTGGGGGGAGAGGAAATCACAACTCAGGCCATACCGTTTCTTGACATTCATTGTCATCTGTAGAACAGAACCATTTTTATTTGAATGAAGCCCAAATTATCTTCATCAGTTCCTCCTTTTTGTATCCTAAGAAATCTCATGGCCAGGATTGCCTCCTGTGTTTCCTCTAGGAGTTCAGTGCTGGGTTTTTAAAATTTATCCCATGACCACTTGGAGTTAAGTATGGTCCAAATAGTTGTGTGTGTTTGTTTATTTGTTTGTTTTGTTTTTTTGATGAGTCTCCTTTTATTTTTGATTTTAAACTCCTTTCCCTTTGATAGAGCATTTCAACAGCACAGAAGGGAGTAAAGTTATAAATTCTCCACCCTGTCCAGTCTCTCCCTCTGTTTTTCTCTGTATTTGTATGTGTCTATAATTTCATTTTTCTCCTACCACAATTTTGAAACTTGCTTTTTTCACTTAATTCACAGCAGGCCCTCGAGTCTGTTGGGTCACATTCGAAAAGGTTGATGGGACCACAGAAGGCCTGTTACTGAGCCTGAGAGCCGCAGCTGCCAGCCGGGAAGGGTGTCCAGGTTTCACTCTGACATTCCTAGGTTGGAAGCCTGTAAGGGGAGGAGCTTGTGTATCAGATACTTCTTGTACTGGGCATGGCTCAAATTATCTTTTTCACCAGCTGCACTATAGCCTCTGGTTTGCAGGTATTGGACTTGAAAAAAAAATTTTTTTTTTGCACTATTGACTGCCAGGCTGCCCGTTTTCAGTCATTGATCATCCTCACAGGTCTGTCTTTTGATTTTTGCATTTTTTTGAGTAAATAGCTTGGTAGGCTTGATGCTTGTGGTGGGTTGTGGAGTCTCCTGGGTTCTGTTCCCCTTGACCCTTCACCCCGTCCCCTGAGAAGTCAGGTTCTTTCCTATTTACCCAACAGGCCCCTCACCTTCTCTTGCTTCCTCTTCAGATGCTCTTTTTCTTCCTATGCTTTCTTTTCGAAGACTTTAGAATCTGGACCTTGTACCTGAGCATGGTGTTTTGTTGTTTGTTTGTTTGTTTTGAACTTTGACCTGCACTAAGAAATTGAGTGTGACCTGTGCCCGTGCACACGTGCATACAACTGAAACACGTTTCGTGAAATTTAGCCTTATGTTCATTATCCACAGTGTACTTGGATCTGTCTACTGTTTTCCTATTTGAAGAAAAATGCTTGTCAGGAGACCCCATGTATTGATTTCCTATCAGGGACCAGCAGTCTAGAACACAGTGTTATCTTGGCTGTTCACCACTCGCCTTGGATTTCTGCACGTGAATGTTTAAAGGCACTTTGTACCAGGCCCTGCCACCCAGAGGCCCCACATTGTCACGGCGCTGTGTGCGGGAGAGGTGTCTAGGGTGACACTGTTCTTCTTTTGCCAACTTCGGGCGAACCTTGTGCTTCATTTCACTTCAAAGAAGAGGAGAGGGTCTTTGCTGGGCCTGGTCGCAGAAGTTCTGCCTTTTGCCATGGGCTTTCCCCTCTATCACGATCTCAGTGCCACCCAGGGGTCTGTGAGGTTCTTAGAGTCCCGTCTTGGGGAGTTCACAAGGTAAAAGTACTATAGTAACACCAAGGCATTGCCTTCCCTTTTCACTCTCATTTCTCTCAAATGTGCAGTGGGGCTTTCCAGACACTACGTGACCTGTGATAACGCAGCGGGTTGAATTCTGTTATGAGAATCCAGCTGATTTCTGTTACAGCAGACATTAATGAGACTTGCCACATTGCCACCTTTTTCAGTAAATTTTTTTTTTTGGAAAATACAACTTTCATTGGAATGTTATTAACGTGTAAGGGTTTAATTATTTTCTAAATGAATTAATGTATATTTAAATGTTTTTTCACTTTAAACTTGAGTATCTTGTGTATCAATATCTAAATCTCTGTGCCATGTAAACAGCTCACTGGATCCTCAGTAATTTTTCAGAGTTCCAAGAAATCCTGGGACCCAGCAGTGTGAGAATTTTGTTTTCTCTATTTACTGGCTCTGTGGTTTGAAACCTTTTTTTTTTTTCTTTCTTTTTTCTTAGAGGCGCAAACACCTTCCTTTAAAAAACATTTTATTATAGGAAATTGCCGGCATATGCAGAAGTAGTGACAATAATATGC